CCACCCCCCCCCCCCGGCTTAAAGTCCACCCCCTTCCCACCCACCCCCTCTGATACCTCCCAAAAGGAGGCATGAGTGTCCTACGATGCTACGTCTCTCTCTCTCTCTCTCTCTTTCTCTCTCTCTCTCTCTCTCTCTCACACACACACACACACACACACACACAGTCCTTACGTTCAAATGTTTCATGAATGCTTCCCACATAGCATTCAACAAGACCGCTATGAATCAGGTTCTTGGGGCGACACCCTTATTTTCTATTTCTACTGCATGACGGCACGGAGTTCCTTTAACACTCAACTATACCGTTTAACATCACTGTACCTCTCTCTCTCTCTCTTTCTCTCTCTCTCTCTTTCTCTCTCTCTCTCTCACACACACACACACACACACACACACACACACACACAAACTGATAGAACTACCACTATTTTGATTAAATCCTACTTTTTTTAAAAAAAAATTTAACAGAGACATTCACTGCAAGTAAAAATCTCAACAAAACCACCGTTTACCTATAGGCCTACGACTTCCACCCTTCGAATTGAATGAACTAATCTTGTTTATATTACGACGCCTCTGCCATTGTCACAATTTTCTACTTCAAAAAATCCATACCCAGCCTTTGCTGAATCACAAAAATCAAAACCTTACCTGTATCATGAAAGTCCAACTGAAATGCTCACCTGTCCAGCGTTTCGTTTAAAGGTAAGATCTACACAGGTGGGTGGAAGTCATTTACCCTCTGCCAGGTATTCCCACTACCATTCAACCTATTAGTCGTATTGCTTTAAGGCTGTATAGGTTGTAAGGCATGCCTGCACTTAAAGAAAATCTCTCAGCTGGCTTAGCGTGAGAACTGAGAGTTGTGGACGGTGTGCGCATGCGTGGCTATTGTGACAACGCTGTCGGAGGGTCAACAGGGTGAAACGGGACAATGTGGCGGTACGGTCAAGTGACGTGACCATGTATTCAGAGTCTGACTTCATACAGGTGTCGTTACCCTCCACGGAGGAAACCCAGGGTATTCTCAGAGTTGTCGATATGGTAGTGCGCAAAATGCGTAGATCTTTTGTCCGCCGTCTTGTTAACAATGGAACATCAATGGAAATAGTAAACACTGGAAGTTTGCCCTACATTTAGATGAAATTTAGAGAGCGTGAAATGCAGTTAAGTCTTTCCTGAATTAAAACGTATGTTACAGTATGCGAATAACGCATTATTTACACAAATAAGCCAAAATGAACCGCAAATGTATCTCAAAATATTTTAATTCTTTAGCGTAGCTTGAAGCAAGTGACAATTTGTCTCTGTTACGATTGTTTAAACTTTACAATTTATCAGTCATTAAATTGGGGATTCGATCCGTGGGAGGATAATGTAATAGCCAGTGACTGCGCTTTCTTGGAAGTCGTTTAGCGATTGCGATAGTTGTGCAACGACATAATGTACGATTGCGTCGCACTCGGTGGTCCCCGGGTATGGTTTTCGTTATTTTCATTGGGTGGAATGTTCATGCTGAAGGCGGGTCCAAGGGAGGGCACAGCTAGCAGGCTAAAACTATAGCTGCACACGGAATCAAGCAACTGGGAGTATATATACACACAACCATAACGTGATCGTCAGTTTGATTGAATGATCAAGATCATTTTTACTGACTCATCTGTTTTATCCACAACGTCTAACCGTTGGTAAATGACAGATGTTTTGATAACCTTGTGAGCCCAGGAGAACACTTCCTCTGTAGCACGCTCGCATCATTAAACAGATATAATTGCTGTAATTTGTTTTATGCGCTTTGTGACTCCCAGTGGATACCGTGGAAGGTGTCTGTATCATGTTTTCTCCATATCTATTTATCTCTCTGTGTCAGTTAGTTATTTCATTGTAATTTATCTGTTCACAATCTACATTTCATTATTATTATTATTATTATTATTATTATTATTATTATTAAGCTGTTAATTGATATATATTTATTTCCAGTTCCAGTTTTTTGTTCCAAATGCATTTCTTGTCAGTAGCAAAAAAAAAAAAAAAAAAAAAAAAAAAATCCACTTGCTCATGAATCGACCCATCCAGGTTACTTCATTTTAGGGTTTCCATTGTTTGTAAGGTTTACTTTGGAAAGATATGAAGCATTTCAAGGTAGTTTTAGGGACCATTCCCATGTTCTATCGTATTAGCAGGATCGATCTATCTCCGAGGGGTTTCTAGCTAAAATGCATCTAGTTTAAGCGTGCACAAAAATTAATTACCCCCTTCAGTGGGTGTGACAGACTTGTAAGCTGAATGCAATTGAGAGAGAATCCCCTCGGTGTTAGATCGATCCTGCTTGTACGATAGGTTTATGGGAACCCAGTCATAAACAAACTTTGGCTCTGGGACCTTTTCAAAGGTGTATAGTATAACGAGTACCTTTTAATTTTATGTAAATACATAAGCTAATGAAAAACAGCCATACGACTTGACGAGGTCTGTAAACCTGGTACGTTATACTCTTTACAATCAAATAAGTCCCATCTCATTCTTAGGGCATAATGCACATGGTTTTCAGGTGCAACAGACTGTAGATTTATCAGAAATAAAAATAATAAAAAGTTCCATTTGTAAATGAAATAATCCGAAAATGAATAAAGTAAATCAATATGTTATGAATGAATATTTTATGATATGACAGAGGAAATGAGATTAGGATGAGTTAACAGGGGCACCCAAGCACTCAGCTACTGGTAGATTAACAAAAAACGATAAAAGACGTGAATATTTTATGACTTACAACAGCGCGATAGAAAATCAGCAGACGAGAAAGAGAAAGGGGTGTTCTCTATAACCTACAAAATATGAGCGAACAGCTAGCTTTGAGGTTAGGCCACAAAGGAGGAAAAAAACTAGACGCTGTAAGTGATAATGGACAGGAAATAGTTAAAAGCGTTCAATGAGCGTTGAGCATTTATATAGCAAAAGTGGTTTTTCCTGTAAACAGTAAAAGGTTTACCCATGTCGTGGTGTTTTGCTTGCACTTCTGCTAGTGGTCAGTTCCCAGCCCCCCCCCCCAAAAAAAAAAAAAAAAAAAAAA